TAATAATTGTGGTGTGGTTAAAAAATATTCTTTCTGATTGATGAACTATAACTATTTACATTACTAATGGTTAAGACGTCCGACCGCGCTGACTATCCGTCACGAACTCTCCTTAATGTATATACACTACTAACCTTTTTGCTACCATAAAAATTACCCTCTTTTAGAAAAAGAACACAAAAGTAAAATACTAAGAACTAACAACAAGACATACACGTTTCTTAACATTACTTAATAGTTACATATACCTATAATAATATTTATTTATCGTTGTACCAAAAAAAATAACACTAAGTATATGTCACTTCTTCTAATTTTTCGTCTTCTATCTTTATATTCGTTCATTACAAAAAAGTATCTGGTAGAAAATATATGTTACATGCAAATCAAGACGACACAAAACACGATCCAGAGTACACAAAAAACTGTAAATCTCACGAAGAGTACACTATTCCTATATCCAATCTGGTCCAAGTATTTTACTATATTTTCAGATTTTTGCTACATTACTCGCATCGTCCTTTCACATAACAGTAGGCATATCTTTAGCGTATTCGGCAGTATTAGTACCACAACTGGAAAGCCCAGAAAGTAATGTTAAAGTTACCGTCACCGAAAGTTCATGGATAGGTAAGCTAAATCCTATTGCCACAAACACTAGTATTTCTTTTTAAATGTTTATTTTATTACAGCCAGTTGTGTAGCGTTAGTGGTGCCATTAGGGTCCATTGGAAGTGGCTTCCTAATGGACAGGATAGGACGTTTGAACACCATCAAGTTAGCCGCAATCCCTAACAGTATAGGATGGGCAATCATAGCACTAGCGACTAATGCGCCGATGCTTTTAATTGGACGATTATTAACAGGGTTCGCGGGGGGTAAGAATAAACTTCTCTATAGGTGCAAGAAGGCGTATTAAAATATTAAAATTTGATACATTATAGCTGTTGGTACAGCCCCTATAATTGTTTATGTCACCGAAATAGCAAGGCCTGACATGAGAGGTGCCCTTTTGTGCACTTGTCCCTTGTGTGCCGCCCTTGGTAAGTAAATCTTTGCTACCATTCGTATGTAGGTAATATTTGAAAGGATAATCGCATATCAATGATTATAGGGATGGTCATAACGTATCTACAAGGCTGGATATCGAATTGGCGCATTGTAGCGTGGAGTTGTATAATTTATACCATTGTTCCTATATTGTGTCTATGGTTCATATACGAGAGTCCCGTGTGGTTAATTAGTAAAGGAAAACACGAAAGGGCCAAGAAGTCCTTGGAGTGGTTCCACAAATACCAAAACAAAAATCCTGAACAAGTGAGTCATGACGTAAGAGAACGATGTTTTTTGACGTGACAACGTCTTATAATTCGATGGAGCCGGCTGCACGCACGAAAAAACATGACTCATGCGGCGTTACCTCGCTCTGAGGCGTTCCATTTAAGGCTTGAAGTGCAAGCGAGAGCGCGGAACGAGCGACAAAGAGGCACAGTCGGCCTCCGTGTTCGGCAGCGTTCGACATCTGTCTCTCTCCTACTTCCTACTTGAGCGAGCGATGCGTCCGCGTGGACAGCTCCTATACAATAATACATTTCCATTTACCTCCTTCTCTATATCCATACAAAATATCTATCAAACAAATAAAATTAAAATTTTCTTTTGAAAAATGAAACCATTCCATCAGTATATTTCTTATGACGTTGTCACGTTCAACTATCGTCAGTAAACTGACTTTACAGACAACCGATTTTTATGAAGTTACCTGGTTATTGCAGTAAATGATAATTGTTGTTGTATTTCTTCAGAATTTCGCTCACATTCAGCTTTCAATTTTACAAAAGGAACACAAAATTAAATTAGAACAGGAACAACAGGAGAAAAGACGCGGCGGTGCTGCCCAAATGTTAAAGAAATTCTCCAGACCCACGGGATACAAACCCCTCATAATTCTTCTAGGATTATTTTTTGTCCAGCAGTTTTCAGGAATATATGTGACCCTCTTCTACGCAGTGACATTCTTCCAAGTAGGTACCTGCATTCGTTTATTGTCTTCCTCTTTATAGTACTGATTTTACTCCTCATTTTATCTTTCGTTCAACCCATTTATTTGCAGGCCGTTGGTAGTGACATTAACCCATACATGGCGTCAGTTTTGATAGGTGCCGTTCGATTTCTGATGTCCATAGTAAACACAGTATTACTTAAGAGGTTTCGAAAAAGGATCCTGATGATGATCAGCTGCTGTGGAATGGCCGTTTGCATGTTCGTATCCGGTCTTTTCACACAACGGATACACAAAGGTGTAGTATCTTCTTCACACCAAACAAATATCCTATTTTTGGGATTACTAACCCAAAAATGTATATTTCTCAAAATCTTTAGATTCAACCATAGTTTCAAAGGTTAAGGTGTCACATAAATATGAAGGCACTCCCCCCCGCCCCTCTAATTTTTTGTTTATTTATTTTTCAAGTCATGAAGGTTTAATCTTGTCTAAAAATTCAGTCGTAATTCACTTCCCTTTTAACTAATGAAGCCAAATTTAAAATCAATCGATATTATTTACTTGGCTGTCCTTATCAGGAACAACAACTCACACATGGGTTCCTGTGGTGGCCCTTCTAATGTACGTGGTGACATCCATGATAGGTCTTATGGCTATCCCATGGACCATGACTGCGGAAATGTTCCCGTTGGATATTCGGGGCGTAGCTCATAGCATTACCATCGGAATTGCGAACGTACTCATGTTCGCAGCCGTTCAAAGTTACAGGTCCCTCGATGTAACCCTGGGGGGCGCCCACGCCGTCCAATATTTCTACGGGGTTGTGTGCCTCACAGGACTCATTTACGTGTACATTTTCGTCCCGGAAACATACGGGAAGAAATTGTCGGAAATCGAAGAGTATTTTAACAACAACACCATCTACTTAACGCACAAATTGAGGGTAAAAAACGAGGCGAAAAAGGCAAAAAAACAAAAGAATTCTAAAATCAGAGAAGTCATCGAGAACAATGACAATAACGAACAGTGCGAGAAAATGATACCAGCTTAGAAAACTCATAGAACAGACAATTATATGTATGTATATGTAATGTAATGCAATACACAAACAACAACAATCTTTTAATTGTTTTCTTGGCATTTTTCTGTAAGGACGCGGTTTTTATTGAATTTTATTGCCAAGTTTACCTTTAGTTTCAAATTTAGACTGAAAATTTAGAACACGAAAGTAAATGAAATAATAAACGGTAAAACAACACGGAATGCTTTTTATATTTATTTTGTAAATTTTATGTGTTAACACTGGACTGTTTTTAGTTTNTATTTTTAATTAAAACAAAAAAACGCCTCGACGATTACTGATAAACAACATTTAAAGAGTCGTATCGCCCGAACTCATTAGCACTTTGCTACGTCACTGTGTATTCTTTTATTAGCCATGGTTACCTTTTCTATTACAACATAAATGTGCCAATTGAATTATAATAATAAAATCCCTCAAAAATCAAATGACGAGAATTTAACCATAAACTAATAAATTGTGGATTGTCAAATAGAATAGTGCGATAATCCTGCTTTTTAATTTTGAAGAGTGTTTTGTGGTGCTTTTTAAATGCGGCTACGAAAATATTTGCTAAAGATCTAATGTGAAAGAGGGTAAAATTAAACTGAACTAACATTTATCTTTTGATTACCTCAAAGATTCGAGTGGACCAAGTTTAATAAAAAATGGAAACATATTAAGGTTTCTATAAACATTATTATTTACATGCTTTCGTGTTTGAAATAGATAACCAGCAAATGTTGATAACTGCAGATCAAAAAGTCACATAATATTCGAACAATAATGTATCATGAAAACGTAAAACGACGTAAATCAGAAAATCCTCAATCAGATAATAGTCTGAAACATTTTTTTAATCGATTTTAACTTGAGATAGGTACATATTCAACTGCTGATAGTATTTAGACACTTAGAGTTATTAGATAACAATATGCTGAAAATGTCAAATCATTTTTCGTCACATTTCGCAAATATTGTCAATAAAAATGATTGTGTTTTTTCAAAAGCATCATTAATGTTTTCTTGATGGTTAGTTTGACATTGTTTCTGTTGGTTCTTTTTCTTCTTAGTTTAGTAGATTCTTCTTTTTTTTTTTTGTTTTTGAAGAAATCCCAATTGTAAAAGACAACTATGGATCCAATGAGGTAAGACATATGGATATATCATAAATAATTATATTTCTAGTCTAACTCGTATTTTAAATAATCTCTTTTTTAGGGAAAGTTGCTACAGCTTACAGTAAGTACACTTTTACCTAATAAGTAGTAGAGAAATTTAATTAAAAAAGGGCGTTTTTAGAATTGATCCTTCTACAGGACATCCATACGACGAAGAGGATGAAAAACTAGCAGAAATAATAGGAAGCACCAAATCGCTTAGCTTTTATGATAATAAAACTTTCAAAAGTTTATTACCACAAGTAAGTTTACTTTTATTTTTTGTATAAACTACCCCAAACGTTAATTGTTTTATGTAATTAATACAACATTTTTAATACATTTACGTCTTATTTTCCTGGAAACGGTATTAATTTTATTATCAATTTCATTTCCTGTAGAACTGATTCTCTCATTATCTTTCGACATGTTCAAGTGTATACGTAGATTACAATAACCCCAGCAGCCGCGAAAGCCTTCGTCCAAACCACAGATTGTAAAAGAAAACATTTATTTATATAAATGTAACGTAATGGATTAGAGGCCGTTGATTTTTTGCAATTATTAACCCTCCCTACCCTTCGCTTACCCCCCTCCCATAGTTACGTACATGCATTTTACAATGTGTTCTGGTTTCTTTATTGATTAATGAGCAGCAGTTAGAAATCCCTAAAAATGCATTCGATTTCAAACATACAAATGAAGGATGACCATATGCGTTCAAACCAAAATCGACTAAATTTTGTACAAAACCGAAAAAGTTAAAAAATAAATACTGCTGACGTAATCACCATCCAAACCCGCCCCCATCCCCCATGTCATCAAAAATAAGCAAAGCAAACACCACCGTTCCCCTGTAGTGCTTACGTAATACTTGAACGGTCCCTTACCCATTAGATAACATGAATATTTTATTCGTCATTATTGGTTCAATATAGGCGACAAACAAAAAAAATCGATTAAATTCCACGTAGGGCCCAATTAACTATTCCTACACCCAATCTGGTCCAAATACATATTGTACTGTTTTCAGATTTTTGCTACCTTACTAGCGGCATCTTCTCAGATACCAGTGGGCGTATCCGTAGCGTATTCGGCAGTACTGGTGCCTCAGCTAGAAAGCCCAGAAAGTGATATTAAAGTTACCGTAACGGAAAGTTCGTGGATTGGTAAGAAAAAATCCTTCTAATTAGGGATTCGGGTCTAAAAGTCATCGTTGGTTTGAGTTGCTTTCTAACGTTTCGCTAGCCCGAGTGGCGACTTCTTCAGAGGTGCTTCCACCTCCAATGACGGATGGGGACTGACGAATTCTCCAACGCAAGTTGTATTTATTCCGGTGGGTAGGAAACGGGGCTTGTTTGGGTTTAGTCAACCGTTGGGATGTTCCTGAGGGTCAGGTTTCAGATATGGTTGAGTCTGAGGGTCTTCTCTTTCTTTTTGAACATCTCCGGATGTTTTTGGATCTCGATAGCCTCTCTAACTACCTGGCTGTGATAGCCGTTGACCGAAAGTAACAATTTGCAGTTCTCAAAGAGTATTTTTTGGTCACCATTACTCAGTAAGTGTTCGGCAGCACTTTTCAGAGTGTTCTAGCTGGTAGCTTGCTTTACGCTCCCTCAGTCTCGTTCCCGTCGATCTCTTAGTAGTTCCTATGTAGACCTTTCCACAGGAACAGGTTATTCGGTAAACCCCTGAGGCTGAAAGAGGATTCCTTTTGACCTCAGTTGATCGGATGGTCTGATGGATCTTCTCTGTAGGTTTAAAGATGATTCTGATGTCGCGTGTCTTCAAGACTCTGTCAATTTGATCCATGACCTTAGGGACATATCGTACCAGAAAGATAGTGCGACTTTCGTTGATCCATGTTGTCTTTAGGCTGTTCGTTGATCTCTCTAACTGGCTCTTTTTGTAACCATTCGCCCCGAAGGCGGTCTTGAAGTGTCCCAGTTCCGTCTGAAAATTTTCCGGTTCGCAGATCCTTCAAGTTGTCCTAATGTCATAATTCTAACTTGTGTGATGTTTGGATAAAGCGTGCAGATACCTGTCCATATCTGTGAGTTTCCCATATACCATGTGGTCCAATTTGTTGTCTCATTTCCCCACTGGTTGGTCTTCTCAGTCTCCATGGTGAACTGGTTGCTTGGATGTCATCCGTTCAGGTGTTGGAGGAAGTGATTCAGCTTATCTATTCCGTGTTCCCAAATTAAGACCTTTAGACTCGAATCAGAATAGCATCAGTTAACCAACTGGCCACGAAACTCTTTACCAATTTGTTATATAGGAACAATTTTTAATCTTGATTTTATTACAGCTAGTTGTGTAGCATTAGTGGTACCATTGGGGTCGATTGCAAGTGGCTTCCTAATGGACAGGATAGGACGTTTGAACACCATCAAGTTAACCGCGATACCCAACACCATAGGATGGGCCCTCATCGCACTACCAACGAATGCTCCAATGCTATTAATCGGACGATTATTGACGGGGTTTGGAGGGGGTACGATGAAAATTATATACACAGGGTGACGTACAAGGAAATTTAAATCACTTTACTTTTTAGCTATTGGTACAGGTCCTGCAATTGTTTATATTACCGAAATAGCAAGACCTGACATGAGAGGAGCCCTCATATGTACTTTTGCATCGTGTGCCTCTTTTGGTAAGTGAATTGTTTTTGATTTTCATCGTCATTAATGTCCATTAGCTGTATTAGTCACTTTTTGACTCCATTCATATTAGTGAGGTATCAACCCTCTCCCCCTTTTACAAATCCCATGTCCCACCTTGCAGAGCTTTATGATACATGGACAGACCCTTAGTCACTACTCTACATTGCAATTTTAAGTCCGGAACTACTTTCGTGGACATCAAGGGATAATTCTGAGATTGTTTTAGGGATGCTCCTAACATATCTACAGGGATGGGTTTCGGATTGGCGTGTTTTGGCATGGAGTACCATAGCGTACAGCATCATTCCCGTAATATTCCTTTGGTTCATTCAGGAGAGTCCATTGTGGCTGGTCAGCAAAGGAAAAAACGAAAGGGCCAAGAAGTCCTTGGAATGGCTTCACAAACATCAAACCCAAGATCCTGAACAAGTGGGTAACAACACAAGAATACAAAAAAGAGAAAGAAAGCTGTCACATTCTATTGATGTCTCTTGTTGTGTTTCGTTACAGAATTTCGCACACATTCAACTTTCGATTTTACAAAAAGAACACCAAGTTAAGTTGGAGAAAGATCAAATGGAGAAAAACCGGGGCGGTGCAGTCCAAATGTTAAAAAAGTTCTTCAGACCAACGGGATACAAACCCCTCATGATCCTTTTCGGATTATTTCTTATCCAGCAGTTTGCAGGAATATATGTGACCCTCTTCTACGCAGTGACATTTTTCCAGGTAATAACAATATTTATTTAATTTATCTACTTAACATGTACAGTACTGACAATAAAATTTGAATGACTTAAACAACCCATCCATTCACAGGCCGTTGGTACCGAGATGAATCCGTACATGGCTTCCGTATTGATAGGTACCGTTCGATTCTTAATGTCGCTAGTAAACACAGTGTTACTTAAAAGGTATCCAAAACGGATCCTGATGATGATCAGTTGTTGCGGGATGGCCGTTTGCATGTTCGTTTCTGGTCTTTTCACGCAATGGATTCGCGAAGGTGAGATACCTTTTTTACATTAATATCCTGTCTTCAGGACCTCACAATATAAAATCCATCACATTGGTTTAATGATCAAATTCTCACATAAAAGTTAAAGCTCAATTTTACCATGGGCCTCTTTATTAATCAATCTGTCCAAAAGGTTAGCAACCTTTTAAAACAATAAAAAGTTTTTTGACGTGACAACGTCTTATAATTTGATGGAGCCGGCTGCACGCACGAAAAAAAAGTGACTCATGCGGCGTTACCTCGCTCTGAGGCGTTCCATTTAAGGCTTGAAGTGCAAGCGAGAGCGCGGAACGAGCGACAAAGAGGCACAATCGGCCTGCGCGTTCGGCAGCGTTCGACATCTGTCTCTCTCCTACTTGAGNATTCCTTTTGACCTCAGTTGATCGGATGGTCTGATGGATCTTCTCTGTAGGTTTAAAGATGATTCTGATGTCGCGTGTCTTCAAGACTCTGTCAATTTGATCCATGACCTTAGGGACATATCGTACCAGAAAGATAGTGCGACTTTCGTTGATCCATGTTGTCTTTAGGCTGTTCGTTGATCTCTCTAACTGGCTCTTTTTGTAACCATTCGCCCCGAAGGCGGTCTTGAAGTGTCCCAGTTCCGTCTGAAAATTTTCCGGTTCGCAGATCCTTCAAGTTGTCCTAATGTCATAATTCTAACTTGTGTGATGTTTGGATAAAGCGTACAGATACCTGTCCATATCTGTGAGTTTCCCATATACCATGTGGTCCAATTTGTTGTCTCATTTCCCCACTGGTTGGTCTTCTCAGTCTCCATGGTGAACTGGTTGCTGGGATGTCATCCGTTCAGGTGTTGGAGGAAGTGATTCAGCTTATCTATTCCGTGTTCCCAAATTAAGACCTTTAGACTCGAATCAGAATAGCATCAGTTAACCAACTGGCCACGAAACTCTTTACCAATTTGTTATATAGGAACAATTTTTAATCTTGATTTTATTACAGCTAGTTGTGTAGCATTAGTGGTACCATTGGGGTCGATTGCAAGTGGCTTCCTAATGGACAGGATAGGACGTTTGAACACCATCAAGTTAACCGCGATACCCAACACCATAGGATGGGCCCTCATCGCACTAGCAACGAATGCTCCAATGCTATTAATCGGACGATTATTAACGGGGTTTGGAGGGGGTACGATGAAAATTATATACACAGGGTGACGTACAAGGAAACTTAAATCACTTTACTTTTTAGCTATTGGTACAGGTCCTGCAATTGTTTATATCACCGAAATAGCAAGGCCTGATATGAGAGGTGCTCTCATATGTACTTTTGCATCGTGTGCCTCTTTTGGTGAGTGAACTGTTGTTGATTTTCATAGTCATTAGTGTCCATTAGCTGTATTAGTCACTTTTTGACTCCATTCATATTAGTGAGGTATCAACCCTCTCCCCCTTTTACAAATCCCATGTCCCACCTTGCAGAGCTTTATGATACATGGACAGACCCTTAGTCACTACTCTACATTGCAATTTTAAGTCCGGAACTACTTTCGTGGACATCAAGGGATAATTCTGAGATTGTTTTAGGGATGCTCCTAACATATCTACAGGGATGGGTCTCGGATTGGCGTGTTTTGGCATGGAGTACCATAGCGTACAGCATCATTCCCGTAATATTCCTTTGGTTCATTCAGGAGAGTCCATTGTGGCTGGTCAGCAAAGGAAAAAACGAAAGGGCCAAGAAGTCCTTGGAATGGCTTCACAAACATCAAACCCAAGATCCTGAACAAGTGGGTAACAACACAAGAGAACGATGTTTTTTGACGTGACAACGTCTTATAATTCGATGGAGCCGGCTGCACACACGAAAAAACATGACTCATGCGGCGTTACCTCGCTCTGAGGGGTCACTGCGAACGCACAACTGTCTACATGACTTAATTAATTTTTTTTTAAATAAAATTGAGCTAACTTACAGTAGGAACGATTATCCCTTTGTCATGTGTGAAGTGATATGCACCAAAAGTTTAGGAAAAATTTCCTAATTGGCTAGAATTATCCACCGATGATTCAGGTTAGGTTAGGTTATACTAAAGAGGATCAATATGATTCAAATATAAGTGCCATAGCACCGACTCATACGTTCAAATTAATACGGGTACAGCTAATTATTACTTGATTGATTAATTAGTTATACGCAGTAGGTAATGCAATGCAAAGTAAGTCGGTATTTTATTATTTTCATATTATTCCTTGTATATATATGTACATTAGCTGTTTGTATTAAATTTTATTATCTAGATTATTTTCAATTTTAATGTTAAAACACGAAAAAAAAGAAAGCTATCGACAATAATATTATTGAATATTTTATGTGTTTATTTTGTAAATTTTATGTGTTAACACTGGACTGTTTTTAGTTTAATAAAACAATAAATCATATTTATTATTTTAATTTCTGTTCATTTTTGAAATGTTAATAGTTGACTTTAAAAAAACCCACATAAAACTAAAAGCAATTATTTTAAGATTTTGTTTCGTAATTTATTGTGCCATAAATGGATCTTTATAAAACATATCTCTTTACGCCAGTGATAGAATATGGCAATGCTTTTGTTAGGTTCGGTTTAGTCAAATGAGAAATCGTATTGCGACTAACGCATCTTTTTGTTGATAAAGTGTTTATGTATAAACGCTATTATGCCCTATAAATGCGTAAATAATGGCATTCTTTTTTCTTAAATCTGCTATACCATACACGCGTCAACGAACTAAGAAACTAGTTAAAAGAAATCTAACACAAGCGCAACTGATAACTTATCAAACACACCATATTAAATAATTAATTAATTAATTAGTAACACTTTTATGGTAATTCTAACAAATTACATCAGCAAATAAAAATAAATTAATTTTTGTAATCAAAGGTAAAGGTCTAGATGATGGCCCNACCATGCAAAAGTGTATCTCTAAACATTGTGATATAAACCCTTATAAAATTAATAATTTGTAAAGGAATATTTTGTGGAGTTATGTACCCTCAAAATACCAAACAATGGGATTACCTGGCTATTAAAACACTTTATTAATGAATTGAAATAACTAACGCTAACGCCTAATTTTGGTATGCAGGATGTAATTTTAGATTAAAAATTACCAATATTCGTCGTAGGGTCATAAGTAGGAAATGGAAGCATCAGCGACTTAAATCCTATCCACGGAATTGGCCCAGCTACCTTAGCAACTCATGTGGAATTTCGATTGACCAATTATACCATTTGAAAGGTCAGAAAACGGTCAAGAAAGGTCAATCGGTTTGATTAATTGATCAGCGATAGAAAAATTTTTATTAAGCATTAAACTTTTTCAAGGTCAATTAAGAATTTGAGCACCTCATTTCAATGTCAAATCAATTTTATTTAAAAAAAATTAAGTCACGTAGACGCTGGATGTCATCCGTTCAGGTGTTGGAGGAAGTGATTCAGCTTATCTATTCCGTGTTCCCAAATTAAGACCTTTAGACTCGAATCAGAATAGCATCAGTTAACCAACTGGCCACGAAACTCTTTACCAATTTGTTATATAGGAACAATTTTTAATCTTGATTTTATTACAGCTAGTTGTGTAGCATTAGTGGTACCATTGGGGTCGATTGCAAGTGGCTTCCTAATGGACAGGATAGGACGTTTGAACACCATCAAGTTAACCGCGATACCCAACACCATAGGATGGGCCCTCATCGCACTAGCAACGAATGCTCCAATGCTATTAATCGGACGATTATTAACGGGGTTTGGNGTTTTGTTCAAGTGACCACCCTCTTTCGATCCTCCACCCGCTTGAAAATAATTTTTTTATTGAATTTTATTTGAATTATAGTGCATGAAAATTGTCAAAATAATCAACTTTCAACCCCCATAACTTTTTAAGGGGGTGAGCCCGCCGCAAATTGTTTATGGGGTTTTACTCAGGTGACCACCCTCTTTCGATCCCCCTACCCTCTTTCAATCCCCTCTACCCCCTCCTCCATCTAACCCCCATAACTTTTTATGGGGGTGAGATCGCCAGGAACTTTTTATGTTACAGTGGTGGGGGAGACCTCCTCTTTCGATCCTCCCCACTTCCTCTAGACATTTACCTAATCAAATTTTATACAGATAAATTAATTGTTTATTGAAGGCGTTCTGTAGTTAAAACCAAAACGTTGGACTGAAGCTGAAGTCTCATATAAAATATTCGCCCTACTCATTATTGTCGACAAACCCTTAAAAATACAAAAATTAATAGAATAATCAATGACACCATTAGTTGTTCTTCCGACCTGACCTTTACTACATAAAATAACAATAAAGATAAACCACATCCGCAGATCTACATATAATACATTCTTCAACAATTATATTTGTTATTGTTTATTTACATTTCAAACTCCTTAAATCGTTAAAATGAAATGTGAAAAGTGAGTACAAAGCGCACTCTTCTTTTTATTTAAGTCGAAATTCGTTCAAACAACAAAAAAATCTTTTGGAGGGTTGTTTAGATATTGATTAAGGTAATAAATTAAAAAATTTTATTTCGTACTTGTATTGTTTCTAGTGAGCAGATATTTTCTGTCATCATGAACGACAAGAAGACTGAAGATAAATTAGCAGAAATTATGGCAAGCAAGATGACATTAACTAACTATGAAAGTAAATCAATCAAAACAATTCTACCCCAGGTTAGTAGGCCACTACAGTAATTGTCTATATATATGTATTTTTAATACTTAAATCGTGGATGCGCACAATTTATTTTTGAAAACGAAATCGAAAATACACAAAACAGTTTTCTAATTTTTAACAATTTAAAAAACATAATTTCACACTTGAAGTTTCAAAGACTTATTTTGCGTAATTAAAAACTAATTTCTCTTAGTGCATTGGTACAATTCTTTCGTCGACCCTTAATACATTTGTCGGATTTAGTTTGGCATATTCTGGTATACTCATACCAGCCATTGAAAGCTCAGATTCGGATATAAAAGTGACAAAAGCAGAAAGCTCTTGGATAGGTGAGTGAACAATCGTCAGTCATCCTGAATACGTAATTTTTAAAAAACCCATTATTTATAAAGCTAATTATTATAAGAAACAGTAATCCAAAATTTCACGCGAAAAGTTTACAACTCTAGCGTGTCGTGACTGAAATAATTAAATTCAAAAACTTGTTAGATACTTATATACATTCCCTCTAAAATGTTGTGAATTTTTTTATTTATAACTAGCTGACTCGGCAGACTTCGTACTGCCTCAATCGATAAATAAAAGACCTAAACTTTTGTATAAAATAAACTTAAAACAAACAAAAGGAGTCCATCTATATATATATATAAGTGAATTGCTGTTCGTTAGTCTCGCTAAAACTCGAGAATGGATGGACCGATTTGGCTAATTTTGGTCTTGAATTATTTGTGGAAGTCCAGAGAAGGTTTAAAAGGTGAATAAATATGAAAGTTGTTAACTATCATTCAGATTATTTTTATGTAGATTGATAAATCTTAAGTTTTGTCACAAATTAAATTTCAGAACGCAACCATAATATTTGATATTTGACAACCAAGTTTATTTTATACAAAAGTTTAGGT